CTCTATAGTGAAACTCCTCTTTGTTGAAACTCTCTCGACTCTCCTAACCCTACTCACTCGAGCTCGATCTCTACTACTGAACTCACTATGGCTTCTATGCCTTCCTACTAAGAACGTTTCTTCACATGTTATCAGAGTGAGGTTCCTATCCTAGGACCTGATTTTTTTTTTCCCATGGGCCCACCACTTCTCGTTCCTGCCATGGCGCTCGTCGCGGCCTCCCAAGCACCCGTTCAGCCGCTAGTCGTGACGTCGCGCGTGGCGGGTCTAGGTCTGTTCGTCGCGGCCCCAGTCGGCGGCCCCGTCGTCTGCCCATCGCGCCCTCCTGCAACCTCGTCACGCCCGGTCGCAGCCCCGAACGTCTGCATCGACGGTCGCTTTGGGGGGAGACGGCGGGTGTGGCGGCCGAGTTACTTCAGCCGCCGATCGCACCCCCTGCCCCGCCCTCCCGTCGACAATGCGGCTGCTACCGCTGCAGCTGCCTCGCAAGCGACGACGAGCTGTGCGTAGGCGCTCGTCGCGGCACCTGTTGCACCCACCCGTTACTCCCCCTTCCTACCCGACAGCTCACCAACCCCACCCGAGCCCGCTGCCGTTTTCTTCCACTGTGGACGACGGTGTGGAGGGGGGGGAGGGGGAGGCGCGAGGGTGGTTGACGCCCCTCTGTTCGCTACTGCACGTGCAACAGTGTGGGGGGGAGGCTTTGGGGAGGCGGGTGTGAGCAAGAAGCTGCCACCCCTCCTCTCTCTCTCACTGCCGCACGTGCCGCTGTGGGGGGGGGAGTGAGGGGGCGACGGAAGTCAGCCTGTCATCTGCTGCTGACGCCAGCTGCTGCCGTGGCACCTCCAGCTGCCGCCCCTGCTACCACCTACCTTTTTTTGTTGTCTCTGTTTTTTGCTACCTTGTGCTGGGGCCTGCAGGTGCTGCCGTCGAGCCGCTGCTGTCCTGCTGCATGTTGCAGCCACAGAGCCTGCTCCTCAGGCGACCTGCCGCCCCACCACCTCCTACTGTTTTTACCTTGGTAAAGGGGTTGGTACAGCTGGATCTGCCATCACTGCACCTGTTGTCACTGCACTTGCCTGTTGCTATGATTTCCGCTGCGGCCTGTTTGGTGTACCCCATTATGGGGGCGTTGACTGCATATTCTTCCCTACAGGCACTTATGGGGGCGTGTCAGAATAATATATAAACCTATATATTGTTTTGTAACTGCCTGTAGTGTAGACTACTGTAGTTATATAATGTTCTGTTGTGGTGGTACACCTTTCATCTTGCCTATTTGTACTGCTCGCTCTATAGTGAAACTCCTCTTTGTTGAAACTCTCTCGACTCTCCTAACCCTACTCACTCGAGCTCGATCTCTACTACTGAACTCACTATGGCTTCTATGCCTTCCTACTAAGAACGTTTCTTCACAGGTCGCGTGTTCGATCCACGCTCACCGCACCATGTGGAGAAAAACTCTACAACGGTAGTGAGCTAGACTACAGGGGTTGGCACGAACTACTAGAGGTGATCTTAGCTTTGCTTAGTTCCTTAGTGTTCGCATATTCACGGAAGAATTTGGCAAGAGTTTCCACTAGCAAAGTTGGAATTCCAGAATGATCCAAGAAGCAATGACAACAATGACTACATCAGGCACCTAGCAACCCTGCAGCTAGCCTGGTCGACCGCCTGCCAGCATTGCGTAGAGGAGCCGCGCCAGCATTGCAGAAGGGCGACCTGCCAACAAAGCAGGTCGACGGCGTGCCCCGTAGAACACAGCAGTGCGCGCGCTCGCAGGTGTGCGCAGACGATTGGCCTGACTTGCCTCGTTGGGCATCCGTCGGCTGCTGTCTGCGCCTGACGAGCCACATCGACTTCGGGATACCAGCCCGAAGTCGCCTGCGCCATCGCGATCTTGACGACGTTCGCGTGCCTCCGCAAAACTCGTCGAGCAGGTTACCCGGTCGACCTGGTCGACCCCTGGTGCTCTGGTCGACTCCCAGGTGCCTCCCGTCGACCACTGGGTCCCTCTGGTCGACCACCGGGCGCTCCTGGTCGACCACACCTCCCGTCAAGCTACCCCTTGGTCGACGGACCCCTTCCGTCGACCAGAACTGCTTCGTCGACCTCCCGGTCGAACTGCAGTTCGACGGGATGCTCCGTTGACCTCCCGGTCGAGTTGCAGTTCGACGGGATGCTCCATAGACCTCCCCGTCGAACTGAAGGTCGACGGACTGCTTCGTCGACCTCCCGGACGGCTCACACGTCGCCCAGGCCAGTCAGGTGCAGCTGTCGAGCATCCTGGTCGACAGCAACACCACAGCGGTCAGCTGCAGCTCGACGTAACCTGTCGAGCAGCTATCCCACTGTGAGCGGTCGGCTGCTACTGCCGTACATCCGACCAAGTTGTCGGCGTTGCCCAAGCGAGGGCGGGGCCAACACTCCATTCCCGTTAACAGAGCACTGTTCGACCAATGTCCCCGAAATTGCAACAGTACGGCCTACATATATATTGGCATAAGAATATGACATTGAACCCGCGGGTTTCTGCGGGTTTTTTTTGCCTGGTCAGCCTGGGAATTTCGGGGGCCCGGAGGGATTCCGCGGGTTTTTCGGTTTGGCCCAAATTTCGAATGTGCCAGGGCGGGCGGGGCGGCATGCGATGACGTCACCCGTGTGTATATAATTGGACGATGTGTGGCCCCCCCTCGCCGAAATGTCGGGGGATGGGATAATGTATTCTGGAGTGGAAAAGCAAGATCGAAGATGGGTTAGATTTGGTTTCAGTATGGTTCAACTAGGCAAATTGAGCGCTCGGTAGCGCTACCATTTCGCTAGACGACGCTACCGAGTGAGTCAGCATGCTGACCCGCATGAGCTACACAAGATGTCCGTTTGACTAACCCAAGGTCGCCCTGCTAAGAGGGCTCTTAAGCGCTTCTTGCATTTCGCTAAACGTTCGTCAATTCCCACTAAGCAAAAAGGGATTTTAAAAAGATTTTGTAACTCGCTGTTGACCGTTTGACATGGGTCTCTTCTGTCAAACTTCGGTTTTTGTGGTTCGTATTGCTCGAGGTGCTTATAAATGGGGTGCAACTGCCTGGTACCCTAATACACGGGTGCAGAGTTTCCATCGCGCTAGAGCAAATTCGCGTGCAGGGGCTGGGCATCTTGTGTATCGTAGAAAATCCCCGTGCCGTTTTGATTGCCCACAAGTGAGGTGGCGAGTACACGTTTTTTTCTCACCATTCTCACCATCGCGCGCACTGGCTACAATGTTTGGGCGTAGCGGGCTGGTGCGATAACTCGGTTTCGGGCAAAGTCGCTCGAGGTGACGAAACAAGCCTCGGGTAGTAAAAAACCGTTACCGCTGAATATCCTTTTCAACCGTTTTAAAAACAATAGTACCATTTTATAACGCATATGATAGGACCTTTTTTTGTCCGTTTCGGCTACACTAGGCATCCTGGTCGTCTAACATATGCCAGTCTATCGAGAAAGATGGTGTAGAGAGATTCACGGGCTCTGTGACTTCGCGGAATAGGCAGGATTTTGCTAGCCTCTGGAATTGTAGTAAAACGAGATCGACGGGCCAGCGTGTAGTCTAGGCCCATGTTAGGAAGTTGGCACTCGAAAGGCTAGACTTTCTATGGACCGGATTTTCACGTATATTTACGAGGGGGCCCCGCATGCAAACGGAGCCATGGAAACGAAGAATTTAGCCCTGCTCTACATCACCGTGCCGAGGCACATACACCCTCATTCTCAGTCTTCTCACCGGCGGAAGCAGTGGCTACAGTGTTTGGACGTAGCGGGCTGGTGAGATAACTCGATTGCGGGCCAAGTCGCACGAGGCGACGAAACCAGACTTGGGCCGTAAAATTCCGTTTACGCTGAATAGCGGTCTTAACCGTTTAGAAAACAGCAGTACTATTCTAGAACGTATAGAACCTTGACTAAACGCCCCGGGTAAAACTGTCAGTATAACGCATGTGATAGGACCTTCTTTGGTCCGCTGCGGCTACACTAAGCGTGGCGGTCAGTATAACATATGCCAGTCTAACGAGACTGAGGGTGTACTTTCTTTGACCACGTCGTTAGTTGGCCTCAATGAGGAACTAGGGCACTAGGGGGTCACGAACCGCAAGGCGCACCCAGTGTGAAGATGGGGAGATGGCGCAGAATACGACTCCGGACCTCTCCTCAGCCTGCGACTGTGGTTTTTGGTGGCCTGCGGTAGATACACCTGATGCCCGTTTGAGTTTACCCTTCTTGGGTTTGTGCTATGGGCTTATAAACCTTTTAGTAGTTTCGCCCATTTCGTTCCATTTCGCCAAGGTGTTGAGGTGCTTCTAAACACAGTTTGTAACTCGTTTGTTTTTTCCAAAACAGTGCTGATGGGCCTGTGTTGTTGTCAGTTCAGGGTTTGGGGTTTATGCTTGTTTCTGGCCAGGAAACAAGAACCTACCGGGTCAGCATGGTTTGTTTTGCGTCTAAGATTCATACTTTGGCGTTTTCTCAGTTGATCCGCATGCCTATGACCTGGGTGCAACTGAGTGGGAAAAAAAACACGGGTGCAAATTTTCTGAAATGTGAAAGGCGAATTCGCGCGCAGTGGTTGTGCATCATGTGTACCTTCTTCCGCGGCGGTGGATAGATAGCTCCTTTGACTACGACGGTGGTCCGCCAGCTGTCATACCCGTCCTACCTTGTCCGTGGAGTTGTTATCATGCCCCACCCGCCTGGCAGGTGAATAGTCGGCCCGTTAGTACTAGATCTACGAGCCTGAAGCTCGTTCCCGCTTCCGCCTTCTCGCACATCAGCATTCGTTTCGCCTACAAAAACCCCGCTCATGACATGCTAGTGTCCAGCTACGAAGTAACAACTTCGATATCAAAATGACAGTTGTAACTACCAGTAAAATACCTTCCAGAATTTGGGTATGGAAGCCCTTCCTCTCATCACCACCATCGCGGCGAGCTCCAGTCCCCCGCAGCCGATTCGAGCAATGTGTCATGGTGCTCCTTCTCTTACCACTGGCGCTCCACGTGGCCCGCCTCCCCCTCAAGAACTATCGGATCAATAGGGTGGAGCAGGGTACGCCATCCCATTGCGTCGACGCCGATGGTGCCGCGACCGTCGCGGTGACCGCGGCGGCGTTCTCGCGCGGCCTCGACGCGCTGGCGTCGTGGGAAGAGGAGGCGGCGCTGCGCGACGGGGAGAACTGGCGGCCGACTCCCCAGGAGCAGCAGCAGCCGGCGCGGAGCCTGCAGCACGCGGATGATTCGCGGATTATTCGCGTGGCTGCGGTTACCGTTGATGGTGCAGTGACACTTCACCACAAGCAAATGCGAACAGCTCGATTTCGAGTCGTGCCGTTGCCCGCGCCGCCAGCAGCAGCAGGCAACCAGACGTGGGATGACTTTTATCCGGATGTTGGTATATACGAGCCATTCAATTCCACCTGCCCTGCTGTCCCCCGCGCGCCATGGGAGGAGGACGGCTTCGACGCTGACGTGGCAGACGCGGTGGTTGCGGTAGTTCCGTGTCGCCCGAAGCGCAACTCGATGGCGAGGGACGTGCGATGGCTGCAGCTTCTGCTGTCGATTGCGCGATTCGCTAGTAAGGTGAGAGCCACTATCATGCCGGCCGCACTTTGTGTTCCAATGCAACTTGACAGGTGAGGCCTGGAAAGCCGCGTAGAAGGGGGCCCGTGCCTCGATCCCTCACACTCGTGCCTCACTCGTCCTCCGGATCGCCCCCAATACCCCCACAGTCCCATCGTCCGTGGATGCCCATGGTCATCGTGTCGTCGTGTCGCCCGCCGCTCAACCTCTTCCATTGCAACTTCCTCGTGCAACCGCAACCCGCCGCGCAAGCCGCTGCGCACGGCATCGTGGGAGCGGGGCCAGAGGGCGACGTGTGGGTGTATAATGTGACGGCGGCCGACATGCGCGAGCGTATCCAACCCCCCGGGTCGTGCGCCATGGCGCAACCCACTGGGGGCGCCGCAGGTGCGCTGCTAGAAGCCACCCTCCCTTCTCTTGTACGTGCGCAGCCTTAAGTCTGAATTCCAGACTAATTGCTCAAGTCCGGTACGATAGTTCCCCACACATGAGGCTAACGCCAAGCCTTCGCTCCCTTTTTACCGTCGCTGCCCTTTGTTCCTTTCGCCCTTTATAATGTCCTCCCATTCTAACTCTCTCCCCCAATTTGCGCCCCCTTGTCGCCCCCGCTCACCCCCTCCATCCGTAGCGCATCCCCCCTCCGCCGCACCCCCCCGCTTCGCGTTCGTGACGGTGCTGCACAGCAAGGACGACTACGTCTGCGGTGCAATCGTGCTCGCGCATGCCCTCCGCACGACTGGGCTCGCGCTGCCCCCCGCCCTCGTCGCGGGCTACAGCAGCGCCAATTCCAGCGGAGGCGCGGCGCAGCCCGCGGAGGCGGAGCTGGTGGCGATGGTGTCCGCAGAGCTGAGCGCGGACAGCCGGAAAGGGCTTGAGGCGGCGGGATGGCGGATTGTGGAGATCGAGCGGGTGAGGAGCCCGTGGGCCAAGCCCGGTCAACACAGCGAGTACAACTTCAGGTGCGCGCGCATGTGCGGGTGTGTGGGTGGCGCCGTGGGAGAAATGACAGGGAAGTGAGATGGATTTGGGGGGAGAGGGAGAGAATTCCAAGCATGAAGCTGGGTTGAAGAGTGGGATATGAGAGGAGGAGACAACAAGGTTCTCTCACCCACTCGTGATGTCTCCCGCATTGCTTTCCTGTCTCCCACTCCCTACCCTCCCCTGATTTCTCTGACCCTGATTTCTCTGACCCTAATTTCTCTGACCCTGATTGCTCTGCCCCTGATTGCTCTGCCCCTGATTCCTTCTCCCCCCACCTCCTGGCACGGCAGCAATCTGCGGTTGTGGGGGCTGACAGAGTACAAGCGAATCGTGCACATAGACTCGGACGTCCTGCCTTTCCGCTCCCTCTCGCACCTCTTCCTCTACCCGGAGCTCTCGGCGGGTGGCAACGACGACCACCGCTTCAATGGAGGCTTGATGGTCATCGAGCCCTCGCTGTGCACGCAGGCGTTTCTCATCGCCAACATCCACTACTTCGTGTCGTACAACCGCGGCTTCCAGGTGCCAATGGCTCGCTGCTCTGGTCGGGAGATGCTCAGGTTCCAGTCGCGCTAGGTTGGGGATTGGGTGAATTGCGTAGTACATGCCAATGCTTGTACGCTTTCCAGCAATGCTGCTCACAGCTTGGCCAGAGGTTGTGTAATGCCAAAGGGTGTCGTCTTGTCGCGAGAATGAGCCGCTCTTCACCATCTTCCCCCTGTTTTCTCTTCCTTCCCCACATGCACGCACTCCTGCCGTCGCCCTCCCAGGGCTTCATAAACAACGCATACCCCTGGTGGCACCGCCTGCCAGACTACACCAACGTCCTCAAGCACAAGCCCCTCCACGGGCACGTGTATCCCGACGGGGGCCTGGCTGCCCAGAACGCTCTCTTTGCGTCGGACCCCCCGCTGATGTCCACAATTCATTACCTTGGCCGGAAGCCTTGGGTGTGCTTCCGGGACTATGACTGCAACCTGTCGGCGTCGCTGCATGACCTCAAGTTTGTGAACGACGTTGCGTTCCGGCGGTGGTGGGCGGTGCACGATGGGATGGACGAGAGGCTGAAGCCGTGGTGCTGGATGAGTGAGGAGCTGAAGCAGGTGATCTGGAGAGGCATGAAGAAGCGCAAGCAGGATGGGGTTGAGCCAGAGCGATGGAATTATACAATTTCGGACCCGAGGAAAGACTTGGTGCTGCCGTGGAAGGTTAACCAGAGGACATGGCCAGGATGGTTCAGAAAGCTGAGCCCCTCCTGTGGTTGATGTAACGGCTTAATATTCTCCCAACAGCTTGAGTAGAAGCTCCGTGTGTGTGTATTTTATGAATCCTGGAACATTAAATCTCATCACAAAAGTCTACAGCGTGCATCCATCATACCGAACATCGATGAGTTACACATCTACTTCAATCAACCCACGGGTATGAAACAGGCTGATAGCCCAGCCCAGGGCAGCGTACGGCAGAAGAAATAGCCGAGAAGGAAATGCCCTACGGGCGTGCTCATTGACAGCGCGCCCGAGTGGAGGCACTGGACACAGGAGGGATGACAGTGTGCAACAAGCCCGTTTCGACTAACTCCCGCATCGCATACGCCTCCCCTCTCTGCATCATCTCCTCTATCCACAGCCACGTCCGCGCCGGGGCAGAGGAAGGGGGGTGCTGCGGGGCTGTAGGCAATGCTGCAGCGATAGGAGAGGAGGATGGAATGGGGGAGATGGGGGAGGGGAGACCGGATGTCGGAGGGAAGTGGAAGGTGGAGGAGGCAGAGGAGGAGGGGGTGGAGGAGGAGGAGGAGGAGGATGGGGTCGGCGGTGGGGAGGATGAGGGACGAGAAGACAGTGTGTGGAGGGGAGGGGAAGCGGGCAGGGCATCGTCGTCATCCTCACTGTAGTGCTCGCTCACTTTCACCTCCTCCCCCCTCGCCCACTCCTCCCACCCTTGCTCGCCCACCTCACGGGCCCGCGCCCTCTCCCCTCCTCTCCCCCGCGCACCGAGGCTCAGGAAGTCCCAACGCCGCCGACGCATCTCCTGGATATCAAACCCGAGGAACGGCGGGCAAGAGGAAGGGGGGGTGAGGGAAAGGTTCATAGGTAGGGCGAGGGTACGAGGAGAGGAGTCACGAGGTTGCAGTGCCTTGCTGGTGCATTTGGTGGGGGAGGGGAATGCAACGAGCCGTGGTGCTGTGGCATGGAGTGCGTGTGGGTATGCCTTGCCTCATCCAGTGCAAAGTCGAGGAAGAGCGAGGTCGCAGATGCCGGCGCGAGGTGCTCCCTGTGACACACGCAGAGCCGCGTGGAAAATGGGAACGAGGGCGGGGAGGAAGGGCGAAGTGGGGATGGGGGGGAGAGAGGACATGGTAACGTGAGGTGTAAAGGAGGTGGATGGGAAGGAGCAAGGGGCACAGGTTGGGGGAAGGCAAAGGATGATGGGACGGGCTGAGAGAAGGCAAAGGCCAAGAGCGGATATGCAGAGTCAAGGCATGCTGCATGCATGAGTGCGGCAGTGGCACACTCCATGTTACATACTGCATTGCAGAGTGCACACAGCATGGCATTGCGCACTCAGCATGGCACGTCGCACACAGCAGCATGGCATGGCGTGGCACATGGCACATGGCACGTACGGCATGGCGAGAATGGAGCCGTCAACACATCTGCGGCCGCGGTAGAGCGTCCAGGGGCGGCCGTCCATGAAGAAGGGGATGTGCACGGACGCCAGGCAGCACGCTATCAGGTCCGCACGCGATGGGAACTGCGACACCACCTGCCTCTGGAACCACGGTGCGCTGCCACAGGTGGGGGAGGGGAGATGAGTGGCGATGGGGAGACGGGGGATGGAGGGAAGGAGGAGGGGGGGTAAAGCGGCAGTGAGCGCAGCAGGCTGAACATGGTGAGTGGAAGAGCAACCGGAGGGTGGTTGCAATGTATTCGTTTGGTACAGAAAGGAGTATGCAGGGATGACGGTGGGTAGTACCGGTGGCGAATGGAGGGCAGTGTGACTATGTGGAGAGAGAGGCGGTGCGTGCAGCGGGTGTGAGCATCCGGTGGGAGCATGAGGTCCAACCACTCGCCCACCAGCCGACCCCACACTCCTGCCAGCCCTGCGAGCAGAGCATCCAGGGGACAGGTGTAGGGAAGAGTGGGAAGAGATGGAGCGAGGGAAGAGGATGGAGCAGCTCCAGCAGAGGCAAAGGAGCTGGCAGGGAAAGGACAGGGGGCGCTGAAGCAGCGTCGAGGGAGCACCTACACCCGCCACTCGCCCCACCCGCCAGTGGCCCCACCTGCAGGGCGATCCCAGACGCCGTTGGCAAGGGAGAGGTCGAAGGCGGCGCGCGCAGAAGCGGTGGCGTCCACCCCGCATGCCGTGAGCGTGGCTGCCAGCGCGCCCGCACTCGCCCCCACCAGCCTCGCCCCGTCCACCGCACCGTGCCGTGACACGGCCGCCGCCGCCCCCATCTGCCAGTAGAAGAACATCCCGCTGTTGTCACCCCGCGTGATAGAAGCGAGGGTGGGGGGGGGAGGGGGAGAGGAGAAGAGGAAATGGGGGAGAAGGGGGGAATGTTGGGAGTATTGATACATGGTCTGTCTGTCGTGCACGTCAGGTGTGCACGTCAGGTGTGCAGAAAGGGCAGGAGAGAGTGTGCTCACTCGTTACAGACTGCCAGCCATCGCAAACACACACCAAGCAAACACAAGCCACTCCACACACACCACCCCATGGCCGTCAAGATATTACCTCATTTCATTAGCCACTCCCCCCACAGCACAGGCACACCGCCCCCATACTGCGCTTTCCTCCCCCACACCGCCCCCATACTGCGCTTTCCTCCCCCACACCGCCCCCATACTGCGCTTTGCTCCCCCACACCGCCCCATGCCACCATACCCGCCAGGAAAGCACAGCACTGGCCGATCCCCCGCAGGATCCACATCCCCCTCTCCGCTGCCCCTCCCCGCGCTCACTGCTCCGCCCATGGCTGACCCCCCTTCCGTCTCCGCCTCCCCACGCAGCTCTGCAACGCTGCCCTCCGCGCTTCCGACCTCCCCTCGCTGCTCTCGTTCCCGCGACCACGGCTTTCCTGCAATGCTCGCCTGTGCGCGGACCGCTCTTCTCCTCTGCGCGTCTGCTTCAGTTCTTCCACCTCTCCGCCCAGGCGGGTCACTCCGGCAGCATGCCGCCTCGATTCCCGCCCCCAGGCGCCCTATCAGTCGCCGTGAAACGCGGTCCAGCTTTCGCTGCTGCACAGCCGCTGCGGTGACAGTTCCGACCTTCCGGCGAAGTCCGCTGCGAGAGTCACCCCAATGAGTTACGGATGGGATCGCGATTGGTTGCGACGGCGCGAAGACAGAAGGGAATGATGAGGCAAGGAGCATGGCCGAAGGGAAAGAAGGCTGGGGACGAGGCGCCGGCGATGACGGTCGGCATCGAGACGCGGTGATCCGTTGCGGTCCCGCGCGGTCACACGGCGCGACGCGGCCAGGGAAGGGAATCAGAGGGCGTGCGGGGCAGAAAGGAAGCGCGTGGGCGCTCATGGTGGTAACTGATGAGAGATGATTGATCGCCGCCAGGTGTCTGCGCGCTACTGCTGCCTCGCGAAAGGCGGAATGGGAGGCGGACGCGCGGCAACAAAATTGAGTGTTGATTTGCGCGTCGCCATGGGGATGCTGTTTTGTGGGAGAGAAATCTGTGTTGTGTTGTGACGCTGTTAGGCAGTGACATCATCCATAGTCAATTATTGGGGGTCTGTACACGCGAAGCAGCTTCTAGAGTTGCTGATCGTATGTACCAATATGTTCTGTATAAGATATCACACCCACATAGCATTCCAGTTCCAATATTACTCCCAACCCACAAGCCAGGTAGAGAATACAATCAGCTCAAACCAAACATGATCTATAATTCCTAGTAGAAATGGCGTTCCTCCTCACCCGCCTAGCTAGGGCTCCTTCTGATATCACACCCTAATACCAACTGACACTGCTGAACTTCCTTGTGACCCACTTAAGCTCTGCCCTCACGGATTCCTCCCGGCGTTACCTCCTCCCGCACGCCGTGCAGCATATGGCCCGTGCCGCACCTGCTTATGTTCCGCATGTGCCCTCTCCGCTGCCTTCAACCCAGCAGCACCTCTCCCATTACCCCTGTTGCGTGCATCGACTCCCTGGGCCCCGTTGGCTCTGGTTCTCTGGGCATTTCTTGCCTGCCGCACACGTGTGCCCATGTGCCCTGCAAGAGCAGTTTGCACGCCCCCCTTAGACCTGACTCCTTGCTTTCTTGTTCCCACGCGAGTCTGCTTCAACCCGTTGCCACGCTTACCAGCAGTTGATCTCAACCACTGCTTGAATTGGCCCCACAACACGGCCATCCTTTGTTGCGCGATGGCAGCACTCCCACCAGAACCAGCTGTGCCGTAGTCCGCGTAATCGCCTGCACTGTAATCTCCATTGTAGTCTCCTTCGTGATAATCACCGTTGCTGTCATCGCCACTATAGTCATCGCCTCCACCACTGTAGTCATCACCACCCCCAGTATTGTCATCTCCATCATAATCACCATCACTACCACTGCCATCCCCATTGCCGTTTCCATCCCCGTAATCGCCACCATCGTTATAGTCACCGCCGTTGTCATCACCATCACCATTACCATAATCACCGCCATTATCATAGTCACCACCGCCATTGCCACCACCGTAGTCCCCCCCATAGTCGCCTCCGCCATTGCCCCCTCCGCTTCCACCCCCACCACCACCGCCAGTCCCGCCCCCGGTCCCGCCCCCAGTGCCGCCGCCCGTGCCGCCCCCAGTTGACCCCGTGCAGCTGAAGTCCACACTTGCCTGGCCACTGCAGTGGCATGATCCCGGGACGGCACGAGGGACGCATGGGGGACAGACACAGATAGGATGTTCAGTCTGCACCGCCTTGTGGGAGGGGAGGGCACTGGGTCTCACCAGTAGCTGACACCAGCACAAGACAAGGACTCCACTGGTAGTCGACAGATGCGCGGTAGAGAGATACTCGTAGGAGAGGCGAGAGTCGTGATGCAGCAAGAAATGGGCAGCAGAGGGTACTAGGACGAGGGTGAGAGGGGTACGAGGGACGCACTAGTTGCCGCCATGGTTCGCGAGGGTTGGCGACTGATCGCTGGAGAAGGCCCAGATGATGCTGTTGCTCCCCGTCAGGCTCACCGGCACTGCGCCGTCGCCAGACGACCGAGAAAACCTGCGGTTGGCGCCAGCGGGAAATAACGGACCGACGAGAAGAGGATAACTTAACCACAGTGAGATCACTCGGCGGGAAACGCATATGCGCGGTGGAAGGAATCATGCGCCATGCAACTTTCAGTCAGCGGTCTACTGAAACCGTTGGTACCGGCTCGCGGTGACGGCAACGCGACTGCTGTGGTGAGCACGCGGCACATCTCCTATGATGACGCCATCAGGATGGGACCACGGCACTAAGAGACTCACGTCGTAGTATCCTCGACGAGTCGCGTACTTGATAAGAGAGCCGCCATTGGCGGAGGAGGCGGAGCCGATGGAGAATCGGCTGGAGGGGCGCACGTCCGCCTCGCTGTACCCGCTTATAGCATACGCCTTCACCGCGCCGCCCGGCAGCCCGCCAATCACGGCGTCGGAGCCGGGCATGCTGCCGTCCGGTGACCACGCCACCGCCACCCACCCTCCAGCCGCCGCGCCGCCCACCTGCATGGCGAGAGAAAGGCTCTTGCCGCCCGCGGCGAGGGCCCAGTGCAGCACGAGACTGGGCAAGCGGAAGTAGTGGTAAGAGAAGGAGGGGGAGTGAGAGAAAGAGGAGGGAGGGAGGGTGAAGGAAAGGCGGGGTTGCGGGAAGATGGAATGGAGAAAAATAGTTAATATCATCAACGTTAAAGGCATTTGAGGTCGGAGCCGGGGAGCGCGGTGTGAATGCAGCCACACGGCGATGGTCAGGAGCGAGTGGGAGAGAGAGTGGTAGAAGCGAGAGAGAGAGAGGTCGTACTCGGATCCGGAGAGTGCGACGGATGACGTGTATCCGGCGATCGACGACGCCGAACAGCCGCCCGCCGCCGCGGGAGTCTTCACGGCGAGTTTAGCGACGGTTGTAGTACCGACTAGGCCAGTTGTCACAACAGCCGCCGACTTCGACGAGTGTAGCGGCGAGCGCACGAGCCTCCCACGCCCGGCTCGGGTAGCAGCAGCCGCGCCGCCGGAATGCCTGGGTCGGTTCGGTACGGTGTACGCACATGCTGCCAGAAACGTCGGGTCGACGTGCACCTGCAGCACAAGCAGAAGCAGCGCGGCGGCTACGAGGGCTCTTGCTGGCACCGCGACCACGGGCTTGAGACTTGGGCGACTAGGGCTCAGGGCCCGAGAAGAGGGAGATGGCATCCTTGTGAGAAACAAGCTATTCCGAAAGCAAGAAATGTGGATGGACTCAGACTTCTGCTGAGGGTTTGCTTGGTTGTGAGCTGGAAGAGACTTTGCAGCCAGTCAAGCAGGTGAGGTGGGGTGGTTGTGTTCAGGTCAGGCTTCCTTCCTGTCCACGGTTGGCGCGTGGAGGGGGGGGTGCGCAGACCAATAGGTTCAGTACAGTACAGAACAGTAGAGCAGTGGCGAGCAACTCGACTCGCCTTCCTCGCCAGCACCCCCCAGTCGCTGCTCCGCCGCCATTCTACAGAAAAATGATACTAAAGGGATGTGGTACGGTGCGGAGGGGGAGCTTACAGCTTATCCATGGTCATTCCACCTGCGGCTCGAAGAATGATGGGGCAAACAAAGGGGTCAAGACGTGACGTGGCTGAAAGAGCTCAGAAACTCCGTTGACTATTTCAACAGCTAGAGCTAACTGGCAAATCCACCCCGCATGGATATTGCTGTTTCGATTAGAAAACACAGCGTTGCGATGCTGCCATTGGAGTTTATTCTAAGTACAGTTAAGCTCTTGCCGAGGTGTGAGCACACCCACCGACACATAATCCAAAAGGGGGTTGTGAAATTACTTGAAACAACCTGGCCATTCGTTTCTGCCTGAGTATTCTGGATCGAATCTACTTCATATAATTAGGTGAAAACCAATAAACATATATTTCTTGCATGGAGCTTAAGGACGTACATGCATGCATACAAGCGAATAGCTAGCCAGCCAACATATAATCACTATGGACGCGTCCCCACCCTCGATCGAGCGCAGGATCACTGTCAAAAACCAATCGGGCACACCGATCGCAGGATCGGGACAAGATAGGTAGGACGTGACAGCAGCGTTGAGATCGCGCGGATCGATTTCGAGCCCAAGGTGACAGGATCGAAAGGTTAGGGAGGAACTGTCAAGAACGAAAGTGTTACATTCACAATGTTGGTTGGGGTACATAAACCTAACCCTCAGTTTTGTACCCCCTATGACACACATCACTAACACTACAACATTTGACACACCCCCATAGTCTAAGTGAGGGGTGTCAAGCAAAACCAAAAGTGTACGGTCACAAGACCAGTTACAAAGAAACGAAGCTCAGGGTGGATCACAACGTCACTACACACTCTGAGCACAAACAAAAGAGGCCACAAGGCCAATCCAAGAGTTCACAAAGATATAAACAAAGTGTACAAGCAAAGCAAGCAGAGAACTCAAGTCTACAAACGACGAGAACCTATGTCAACAAGGCCTAACTGCACACAGCACCTGTGGTGGTCACAAGGCGGAAGCGCCTTGGTGAAGATGTCAGCAGTGTTGGCCTCGGACTCCACGAGCTCGAAACGAGCTTGTCCACGTCCGTGCAACTCTCGCAGAAGAAGGTACCTGATGCTAATGTGCTTCACTCTGCTCTCCATTTGCGGCTCTCGACAGAGGAGAATCGACGCCTTGTTGTCAGTGAACAAGGTCGGCGCACTGCTCGGCCGCTCACCAAGGTCGGTGACCAAGAAGGTCAACCAACGCAGCTCCTGTGCCGCCATGGCACCAGCGTAGATCTCTGCCTCAGCAGTAGAGGTCGAGACTGAGGAGGAACGCGTGGACCTTTACGAAACAGCTCCAGAACCCAGGCTGAAACAGTAACCTTAAGTAGACCTGTGAGTCTCAGCGCCATCAGCGTAAGAAGAGTCACAGTGACCAATAAGTACGACAGACTGCTGCCCTCCAAGAACCAGCCCCACGCCTGATGTCGTCGCTAGGTACTTCGCCACTCTCACAGCTGCTATCCAGTAAACAGGACGGTGTCTCCCTGGCGCAACAAAGCGAGCAAGGATGTTGAGAGGGTAGGCGAGGTCCAGGCGAGTACAAGTCATCAAGTACATGAGGCAGCCTACCAGCTCTGCGTAGGGACCACTAGGCTCAAACGGCTAGTAAAAAAAGGGTCCAGTAAGTCTATGGTCAACAGCAAGAGGTGTGCGCTATACTGCGGAGTGCTGAAGCTCGAACCGCTGAAGGACCTGCTGCACCATGTGTGACTGTGAGAGTGTAATGGTGCGAGCAGCTCTGTCCCTGGTGAACTGCAGGCCAAGGTAGTGGCGCAGCTCACCAAGGTCAGTGCATGTGTGTCTCTTCTGCGGTTCGGACTTCACGTCTGCCAAGGCAACCCTATCAGCAGTGGCGAAAACCAGGTCGTCGACGTAGACCAGAACAAAGAACGGTGTGGAACCATGACGAACGAACAGCGACGGGTCGGCAGAAGACGGCTAGAAACCAAGGTCAGACAGGGTAGAACGAAGGGTGTCGTGTCACTCACGAGGAGCCTGACGAAGACCGTAGACCGGTCGCCTCAGCCTCCTCGGGGTCCCAGGAGGGAAAGTGCCTTTAAAGGAAAGCAGTGGAGAAGTCGAGAGAGTGTAACTCGTAGTCTCTCTGTGGTTCTACGTGAAGTAACACCTGAAGAGTGGTCATCTTCGGGGTAGGCGCGAAGGTCTGAAAGAAGTCAACTCCCTCGCGCTGACTGAAACCTCTAGCCACGTAGTGTGCCTTGAAGACCGGAGGAGATCCTCATGGCCGTTTCACCCTGTAGATCCACATGCCATCGACTACGTTCGCCCCAGGGGGGGGAACCTCGTCGACGTAGGTGCCTGTGGATCTGTAGGAGGCCATCTCTGTGTCCATGGCAACTCTCCACTGAGAGGCCTAAGGCCCTGACACTGCCTCAGCGTAAGTGCGAGGAGTCTGTATGTGAAGGGCGTCGGGGTCTCCCTCAGGGGCGAGCAGCATGGCACAGAGATGAGGGGAAGCGGCTTCCAGGAACTCTAGCTCAAACTGCCTGTCCTCTAGGGCGTCACAGCCAAGGGCAGACTCACCCCCGGCGGCCAGAGGACTGGTAGGAGGAGCCGCCACAAGACTGGTGGAGTAGTCAAGGCGGCGAGTAGAGGCAAAGTCAGTGACTGCGGCAGTAAGAGCGGAGACAGAGGACAAAGAGGCACGAGGGTGGGTAACAAGAGAGGCGAGAACACGAGAGAGAACAGGACGGTACGCACAGTGGTAGTTAGTGACAAGAGTAGAGAAGGAAGCAGTGAGGGCCGACTCAAGGGGAGACGGAAGCACAGACGGAGACGAACGAGGAGGACTACGACGGAGCAGCACTGTGCGAAGGTTAGTTTGGGGAACAGGGGACGAGGGACGAGCACGAGGAGAGCAACGAGAGGGCCAAGCGTGCGAAGGAGGAGGAGACAGCGGAGGCGGAGAACGAGTGACAACATCTTGGGAGGAGTATGGAGGAGGAAACGTGGGACCGTAGATCGGAGGAGAGGGGGGAAGAGGAAGGAGAGTGAGAGGGGAGACCGAGGGTCCGAAGACCGGATACAGGAGGAGGAGGCGGCTGCTGCTGCTACTCCTGTGGCGCCTGCTGCTGCTCCTGCTGTAGCTGCTGCTGCTCCTCCTGCTGCTGCGGCGGCTCCTGCTGCTGCTGCTGCTGCAGCTGCTGCTGCTGCTCCTCCAGCCGCTGCAACTCTAGCTCCTCTCTCTCCAACTCCAGCTGCTCCTCACGCGCACGGGGAACACGAGCCTGGAGCCGCGTCGGGTAGAGGTGGGGGGGAGGAGTAGTGTCCGGGGCCGAGGCAGCCCCAAGACCGCTGTCCAAAGCACCCAGCGCACCACCAACAGCAACACGACCAAGCTCACCAGGACCCGGAGGGGGCGCACCCGCACCCCCAGATGTAGCACCCCTAGGGTCAGCTTGACCAACACAAGCTCCCGGAAGACGAGAGTTGCTTGCAGCCACGGGCTTAGCTCCAACTCCAGCACCCCCAGAACCAGAACCCGGCACTGGGACGCTCTCAGCACGAACTCCAACTCCTCTAGAGCTAGCACCTGCAGGGTCCTCTCCACGAACACCGGCTCCCGCAGGGTCTGCAGTAGGCTGCGAGGAGGACTGCGGGGAAGGAGGCCGCACCTTAGGGGCTACCGAGGGGGGAGGGGTAGCGTGGGACACACCTGACGGGGCTGGACCAGGGGGGGGAGGCTATACTGAGGGAGCAGGAGGGGGAGCGGAAGTCAGGAAGAGAGGGGGAGGAGGAACCGGGAGACCTCGGCAGGGGTACCTGACGTAGTAGGGGACGGACTCGTCGAAACCGATGTCTCGGGAGTCAAAGAACCGGTGAAGGGGAGGGTAGTAAAAGGTGAAGTCAGAGGAATCCTCTGGGAAACCAAGGAAGTCACAGGGAACGTCGCGAGGCGATATCTTGTCCGTGGAGGTGTCGCGAACAAGAGCCAAGCAACCCCAGACACGAAACCGCGACGCAACACCAGGGGACCCGGTCCAAAGACTAGTCGGTGAAACCTCTGGCCGAGAGACACATGGCCAGAGGTTCAGCTGGTGAGCGATGTACCTAACCGCGTAGGGCAACAGAAAATGGGGGGCACGGGCATGAGTCAAGGAGGTGCGGGCGATCTCCATGACCAAGCCTATGCGGTGCTCAGCAACCCCATTTTGCTGTGGGGACTCTGGAAGTGTCTAGGACTAACGAATGCCTTGTTTGCGACAGAATCCAGCGAGAACGCCGGAGCGAAACTCACCCCGACGGTCGGAGTGAAGACAGCTGACACAACGACCACGAGTGTCCTTTGTGGTAAGCAGCCACCAGATCAGCATAGAAGTCACCTCAGACTTCTTCGCCAGGGGGAACACTGTGGTGTAGCGGGAGTAGTCGTCAACGACCACCAGAAAGAAACACTCACGCTCAGGGCCAAGGCGAGAGGCAGGGCCCCAAACGTCCAAGTGCAGCGTCTCAAAAGGCTCGGTGGCCAGACGAAGGGAGGAGGAGTGAGGGGTAGCGCGCAGCCGACCCTCGATGCAGGGACCGCACGGTGGTGCAAGCAAAGGCAGCAGCGATGGCAAGACACGCGGGAGGCCTAAGACAAGACGCTGACTAGACATAGCGCGCAGACGAGGAAGGGACGGGTGCCCAAA